TATATATCCAGCGGGCAAAATGACGTTTATCCTGACGTTGAATCAACGTTGGAAATGACCTTCCAGACGTTGGATAGACGTTGAAAAAGGGTTGACTATGCAAATTGGATCCACGTTACTGTTTCGACGTGGAAACAACGTTGAAATTAGGTTGCCAATCTCGTCAACCATAATTCAACGTTGAATCCACGTTAAAACAACGTTGAGATTGGTTCACAAATCGACGTCGTACATTTATCCATGAATGAACGTTAATTCAACGTCTGTTGGCTGCTGTAATCAATGTTTGTAAAACAACGTCAGAGCAACGTAGATATTAGGTTGTCGACGTCGCAACCTTTTTTCTACCAAATTTCAACGTTGAAACAACGTCGTGTGCCCGGTGGGATATATATATATATATATATATATATATATATATATATATATATATATATATATATATATATATATATATATATATATATATATATATTGTTGAATTGCCATGTCACTTTCTTGAGTTCTTTACCAGAATATTACTGAAGTATATATAGTTGAGCCAGCTGCCTAAGATCCTGGAGTAGGATAGCTGTTCTTGACTTTGCGGTATCCCGCGTAATAACCTCATACTATAGGGACGTTCCTGCATGTGAAGACTAACAGCATTTCCATTCCATTATGCATAATTTCCACCTGCCTAGCATTGAAGTTTGAGAAGCATGAAAATCTAAAATATAATGCAATTGGTGCATTTCATTTCACAAAGTGGAAACCTAAATCTGTATTTGTTTTGGCACTGCCGGTATGCACTCGAGTTTCGCATGCAGACGTCGACTATTAACGACTATGGTTTAAAGTCGCTAATTGACGTCTGCGAAACTCGAGTGCATACCGGCAGTGCTAAATCTATATGTTACAATAAATCAATCCAATTTATTAACAGTATAGACCTATTTCTAATTGAGGGAGAAACATACTTACATTTGAACAAAACTATCTCTAACTGGTTGGCAATTTTTTAGTCTTATATATTCACCAATATAAACACCCAACACAAATGAAATTTCTGCTATCTGAAAGGGGATGGGGAAATGCACCTCTATTATAGTAAAATGTACTCGGTGTGGAAAAGGACCGTTCCACTTTCCTATATGTGAGAGCTGTGGATCAAAGATTCTTAGGGAAATATTTCCACAAATAAGTAGTATATAAGCGCTTCACATGCCCCAAGGGAATAAAGTATAAATTACAGTATTATTATATACTGGAGTATTTATTAGCACCAGTCATAGAGCCATTATATGTTGAATTATAATATAAATAACAATAATATATTGTAGTATTTCAATTACCTTCACGGTGACAGTGCAGGCAGCCATGAGACATGACAAACAACGCGAATTATTCGGCCATGCAGGAAGATGGAAAATTAGACGTGCTAGCCTCTTTGTTATTTTCTCTCTCTATATATAGACATTTTAATTTTTGAACGCGAATTATTCGGCCATGCAGGAACGCGAATTATTCGGCCATGCAGGAAGATGGAAAATTAGACGTGCTACCCTCTTTGTTATTTTCTCTCTCTATATATAGACATTTTAATTTTTGAAGAGAAATTACCTAGCTATAGAGGTATTTAGCACGAAAAATACATTTCCAAACTGAAATATCTCATCTCATGAAGGCCATGAAAAATTTGCACGCCAACAATCAATTTGGTCAGCGCCAAGGCAAATTCGCTATAGCGCACGCACTCCATCTCCAAGAATCATGAAGATTTTCGTAGTCTTTATACCAGGGTCTTCTCTTTTTTCGCGCGCCACCGTTGACTATTAATTGAACTAAATATAACAGGAAGGTTAAGTCAGGGGGGGGGGGGAGAGTTGGAGGCTTGAAGCCGTGCTTGAAGCTTTCTTTGTAGGTCGACCAGGCCCTTTTTATTTTTTTTTTCAAAATATGCACATTTTTTAGTCAGATAATCTTGCTCCAAAGGTAAGACGTGCAACCTCAGGAATTATTTACCTCATGTAAAATACATCTGTATGCGAAGTTTCAAGAAGATTGAACGCTTCGGGGTCGAAAAAAAATGCATTTAAGAATTGACAAAAGTATTGCCATATTTATTAGTGCTCACTGTAATGACCAACAAGAACGCGATGACGAAAATAACATCACTTGAAAAGCGTCAAATTATTCATGTTTTAGAAGGAATAAAACAATAAGGAGCAAAAGCTTAGGATAAATAACAATACCTGAGGTTTAGTACAATATAAGTTTTTGGACTGTCAAAATGTTTTATAGTATATTTTTTTGAGTTGAAGGGCGACATTTCCTTCGGCACGTCCAAACTTTCGTCATTTTTTCAAAAATACAAAAGCAAGACATGTAAAACAGTCGGAACTAATCGGAAAACCAGGTTTCAATCCCAATCATTCTGGTATTTCAATGGAAAAAGTATTTTTCTTGCCAATTTTTGCTCAAAAACAAACTTGTGACCATGAATTTTTTCACTCCTCGAAACTCTCCTCAGTCCTTTTGAAACGGCTGATATTCATGCGCATCGGCTTCAACGAATCAAAGGTTTTCATCATTAGTCAACAGAACTTTAGTTGAGTGTTGAACTCACTAGAGTTCAATCTCTCGCTGAGTTTAAATCTAAAATATCTTAATATTTCTTTTATATTAGTTTCTTTGCATGTGTAGTTTGTTACTTTTGTAAATAGTTTGATACCTTTTTATTAGTAATTAGTCTACTAGTATAGGTACACGTCTCCATTGAAGAGCACATAACATAACCTGTGAAATGGACCTCGTGTTTTATATATATATATATATATATATATATATATATATATATATATATATATATATATATATATATATATATATATATATATATATATATATATATATATATATATATATATATATATATAACAATTATACCATGAGCTCGAGTCGTATATGAGCTGATAGCCGATGAGGTGCGTAGCACCGAGTCGGCTATCAGCCATATACGACGAGAGCGAATGGTATAATTGTTTTATAATATAGTCTAATAGCCATTAACTGAAGCAATAATTAATTATCCTCTGCATATTACAATGTCTTGACAATTTGTTCGGCCAAAAACCGCTTGGCTTTGAAAATTTGAAATACTTTTGTTTACAACTCGACGGCGAAGTGAAAGAAATGGTTTTAGAACCGGTATATCTCACAGAAAAGCTCAGATAAATAATATTATACAGATGTTTGGTAGTATAATAAGTGCTTGCTGACTGCAAATTCATTTGTCTAATTTCGTTGCAAACTTTTCTGAACAATTTATATTCTCAATGAACATGTTTTTTCGCTGTTGTTTCGGTATTAATTCTTTAAAAAAACTTGTATTTAGACTAATTTGTATGTAATAAAATGTATTTTGCTAACCTGTCAAATTTTAATCTGTCGAGTTTTTCCTTGTACTATTATCTTTCTCCAAGCGAATATTTTACTTTTTTCTGCTTCGCAAAACTCATGTAGTTTTTGGACCGCTATCTTGTTTTTCGCTACTTGCCGTATATGAGCTGATATTCGGCGAGTAATTCAACCAATCAGATTGCAGAACAGCTTATATACGAGTGGCTATCACTATCTTATATATATATATATATATATATATATATATATATATATATATATATATATATATATATATATATATATATATATATATATATATATATATATATATATATATATATATATATATATATATATATATATATATATATATACACTTATATTCAAAATAAATTTGAATTGGTTGCATGTACCAACCAAAGCATTGCAGATGTAGCTCGGTTTTGTTCATGCTCGAATGCTGGACACCACTCACCACTGCTTATCGACACCACCTTTAACATCGCAGAGTACTATTACACCCAGTACGCGTTCCAGAATCTAACGCCTGTATTCTAAAAGCTCACTCACACTCAATGAGTAGAGGTTCAATCTGAGCTTGCCTTTAGTGACAATGCTGTTTTAGAATAGCTGAAAGGTGATTATTCACATAGTACAATACGGCACTAACCCTCCAGCATTGAAAAACAGCATTGACACTGAAGGTAAGTTCAAATTGAACCTCCACTCTTTGAGTGTGAGCTTTTAGAATACATGCAGGCTTAAGTCTGGGACAAAAGAATTCTGGAAAACACCCCTGGTTTCACGGACCCTTGTTTATCCACCGCAACAAGTCGACAGAGGATTTCAGGCACTTTTGGCAGGCCGTCAAAAGAGGAGATGAACGTCTTCAGTACCTTCAAGAGCTTGGTTCTGACGAAGACGAGGCACTCTCAGGTGGAATATTAGAAGCGACAATGGGAACAACGCATCTTCTGGAACTAGAACATGTTAAGGCAAACGTAGAAGAATAGCTGGTGGAAATGAATTTTCCTATATATCAAAGAAAGATCCTCACAGATATCTTCGGTGGCCTTAACATGGCTGAAGAGGATGCAGCTGCCTGTACGACTGTGAGAGCGAAGACGAGTTTGACGAGGAGGTAGCAGCAGTCTTCAGGATTAAATAGAAGACCGTTTCACTAAAAATTGCCCTCCAGAGTTCACAAGTTACTTCCCCAAACACCAGCAACTTTAGATCCGCAACAAGATGGCAAAGTACATTCGTGAGCGAGCCAGTGTATCTCAAGGGTTTGGACAGAACCCTGTGGAGTGGCTACATTAGATGTCCAAAAACGAGATCGATGATATCGCAGAGGGTACGAAGCACAAGGATGTTTCACTGATTACTGCTCTTCAAAGCCTGAAGGATAGAGTTTTGCGCCTTTACAAAGATGCAGCCAAAGCCGTGTACGTCGAAGGGCTCTACAAGTTGGATAGTGCCTGCAGCAAGTTGTCACCTGAATACGATACATGGATGGGTTTACTGCAGAAGACAAAGAAGCTCATCTATAACGTTTCTTCGTTGCCAGTTGCTCTGCATTGAAACAGGGTCAGAGGAAGAATCCGATCCCTAGTTCAACAGGTGCCACGTACTGCAGCTTCTGCGACTGACGTCTCTGCCACGGCGGCGCCTACCACTGTAGCCCCTGCCCCTGTAACAACTGCCAATCCTATTTCAGCAAAGCATCTGTCTGTGTCATTTGCCGAGTTTGTTATTTTTGAAGACTGCTTACCAAGAAACACCATGTGGTGTTTGTACCGAAATGCAGAAGCTTTACTAACCGAACCCGGGGCAATAATGCAGGTTGCTTCAAGTGATCTACGAGTGACGATCAAGAGTAGGCATGGCAAAGCGCCATGCTGGTCAAACCTCTGAAAAATAAGAACCAGTTTGAGTGCAACTGCGCAGCCTGCAAGTCTTTTGGGATTTATCAGGACACTATTGCTTTCGCAAACAACCTTGACTGCTTAATTTAAAGAAGTACGTAGAAGGCCTAAGAAAGAAGCTCCAGAGGAAGAGAGGTAAGAAAGGTGTGAACATATCCGCTGTATATAAGGACCAACGAAAGCCTTCAGAACAGGGACTTAAAGCCAATGAAATCAGTAAAGTGTGTCGTAGAAAGCCTTCAGACGTTTTAGAGCCTTGGAAGCCTAGACGATCAACTAAAGGAAGAAATGACACACAAGCTACGACATTTGCCATGCCCGCTGCTTATACAGGTCACGTGGTGAACTGTCCTCGGTCTCTCAACACCAAGCACATCATTCCCAGTTATAATTGCAACCTCAGCAACTATCGCAGTTTCACCAGCATCCTCACCAACAGTCGCAACAACTGCAATATCAACAACAGTTTCAGCAGCAATTGCAGCATCAACAACAGCCTCGGCAACAGTCACTGTTTCACCAGCAGCAACAGTCTCAGCATCACCAGCAGCCTCATCAGTCGGACCAGCTATCTCAACAGACTCAAGAACAGAGTCGGTGCTTTCAGCAGCCTGACCAACGGCCGCAACTATTTTCAGCAATCTCAGCAACAACATTAATGGCGTGATCCACAACAGCAGCCTCAGCAGCAACAACGCGCGCAACTACAGCAACCATGCACACCAGGTACAGGGCTTACAAGTTAACGCCTGGCACTCTGGTAGACAACCCTATCAATACGAAGTGTGCATTATGCAAACCAATATTAAAGAATGTTATGGGTGTAATCAAGACCTTGTGGATGCATACCGCCGTCACCCACAAAACGTCATTATCCGCCACGTTGACAAGCGAATTCGAAGGCTAACAAACGACGGAAGATACTCTATGCCGGCCGGTTGTATAAAAAGTGATTAAAGTTAACTATTTGGGAGTTAATCACTACTTAACTACAAAATAGTGATTAAAAAGTTTTATACAACCGGCCCCTGCTCTATGCATGGTGTCGATTTTGCAAAGACATACTATCTAGACGTGCCTAGATAAAGTTCACTATTCACTATCACTGTAAATTTAGTCACATTGCCATGAAAAATCCGTACTTTGACGGAATTGTGTACTTAAATCCTCAACTGCTACAACATGGCAACACTTGAGCGCGAGCCTGCGTTCAGTGGGCCATTTCTGAATACTTCATGTTAATTTAATGTTTGGAAAATATTGGCGAGGGGTTACTGCATGCATGTATTTCTAGTATATACTATAAATAACAGCGGCTCTAATATGACCCCTGTCGAACATCGAATTGAATGGGTTGAAGATCAGATACCACTCCGTTAACTTTGACACTCTGAGATCTATTTGCGAGATAAGCTCTAAACCAAATAACTGCTGAGTCATCAAAACCCATTGAAGTTTAACTTCATCAGCATGGTATTGTGATCGAGCGTATCGAAGGCCTTAGTGAGGCCCAGAAAGGCCATTCCTGTGAGTTTTGAGACTTGTTGATAATATCTATTAGACACGTTCTGGTAGAATACAACGGACGATATCCTGACTACCAAATGGATAACAGTTGGTTTTCTTGGAGATACGAGTATACCATTGCATGAACAGCATGCTCGAGTATCTTCACAAAGACTTTTACTTTAACTTCTTAATTAGAGTTAAAGTAAATTGCTGTACCTCCACCTGTCGTTGCATCTATACGGTCAGTCCTTATAAGGTTATATCCATCAACGTAATTAGTTCAGAATCAGCCCATGATGAAAATATTTAGCCAGGTTTCAGTTAGACACATCACATCACATCAAACGGATTGTCTTTCAATAGTATTCGGAATTCATGAATATGCGACATAGACTTTGTGACAATCACGAGGACAGGCAATCGGTTACTCATTTATGCCCGTTTTTGTCCAGAGGCCGCGGAAGCATTCCCAAAGTGGCATGGGCGTCAAAAGATCTATAAGTGGGGGGCGACCATATTCATATATTCGTGTTCACAGACCTTAAAAACAATCGATTTCAAAAGAAATTAATAACGCAGAACTGCCAGAACACGAATATATGAATATGGTCCCCCCCCCCCACTTATCGATCTTTTGACGCCTATGCAAAGTGGAGGGGCATTGGCCCAAAGGGGCACTTTTGTGTATGACCAAAATCAAACGATTTTATGTCGTTCACGAGCCGAACGAAAATGTCTGAAAATATGGAGTCTCTGTAACGTCGGAAATGGCCTTTACAGAGTCTTTACTACTGCATACTAAAAGGGAACATTCTTTCCAGCAAAAGAGGGCGTGTCCGCGTTGTTCGTTTTTATCATTTTTTTTGTCATTATAGACGGCTTATAGTTATTAACATAACATTTAAATTTACATTTTAGCAATGTAGGACTAATTACACTGTGCATTTATATTCAAATTTAAAATGTCTCTGGTTTAAAATGTACATGTTAAGAAGCTTGTAAGCTTCCAATGTTTCAAGCTTTCGCCAGTCTGCAATGAGTGCATGCAGTCTTCGAAAACCTAATATATTCTTTGTATAACAGAGGATCAAATGTTAAATAACAAAATAAGTGCCAGTTACAGGCTATGTGTGAACATGGACGAAAATTATACTACAGTCGTTCGGTCTTCGGTGGAAGAAAATGTTTCGGAATCCCATACGTACAGGTACCTAGCGTGCACCGTCCAGAGTGTTATATTGTGCATGTTTGATCCCCACATCTCACCCTTTCCCCCGCCCCAACCTATCTCCCGTCGACACTATTGACGAGGTCTATGTAATAGTAAGTAATAGTAAGTGGGGTGTGCTATACTTTATACTTTATACTTTATTTAGAAGTGGTAAATACATTGCAGCCATGAGCTGAATTGCGTATTATACTTACAATTAAAAATTATCAAAAATTAGAGTTTTGAAATATATCAAAGTATTATAATTAATTAACTAAATTGTCAAAAGTGTCTGTTTATAATAAGCATGCAAAAGTTATTAAGAATATAAAATAGGTAAATGAAGAGTAAAACCTATTCAGTTTTGCTACTCGATGCCATAATAATGCTAATCATCCTTACTTACAGCTGAGAGCTAAGCTGAATTACGAAGGACGCAGCTCAACTTGATCCAGTCGAAGGCTTATACTAAGGGCGCCTCTGGCAGCCACCTTATAATTCATGTCTGATCATGAGCACGGCTACGGTGGAAGGGTCAGTTCGGGTGCTAATCCCAACCCAACCCAACCCACCCTATCACATTCCCTGAGGGAGGAAACCGGAGTATACCCGGAGAAATCCCACGACTTTCGGTATACGTAGAGCGTTGACTAACTCTTTTCACATACTATTGTTCCCAGTAAACTGCGAAACGACCGTTTTTTAGGCGGTTTGTCAGTGATAGTTTTGTCAATTACGAAGGACATATTTATGTACCTCGTGATCGCAATTCGTTGCAAGCGGCGTGTGAAAAACTGCACGTTTCAGTTTGGCAGTTAATGGTTTCTAATTTTATTGTCCAATCAGGTGCGTAGTTTTGATTTAAAATTCAAAACTACGCACCTCATTGGACAATAAAATTAGAAACCCATTTATTAACTGCCAGAACTGTCAAACTGAAACTTGCAGTTTTTCACACAAATATGTCCTTCGTAATTGACAAAAGTGTCAATGACTGAAACCGCCTAAAAAACGGTCGTTTCGCAGTTTACTGGGAACAATAGTAAGTGTCATTAGTCACCGCAGCACGTAACGTGAGACTTATCTTTTCGATCGTTTCTAAAACTACACCTGCATGAGTAACAGACGAGTAACAGGCGAGTAACAGGTGAGTAACAAACGAATAACAGACAACTACAAACGGTTACAGACAACTGCAGACGAGTATATTTTCTAAATACGACTAATGAACAGCATTTTGATGGATTGTTTTTAATAAATGATGTAATACTTTTCAAAATGGCGATATATAGTATGTAAGTAATAGCATGGCATTCAGGGCGATTAGTGATTAAATGAACGCATGGAGATGTGTTTCTGCGCGTGCGTATATATGAAAAGTGTTCGTACCACAATCATAAGACAATCAAACAGCATTCAAAACAGGCAACACACCACGCGCGATTCCATCGGCAACTGTGATATTACAAAGTAATAGCATGGCATTACGGTCGATTAGTGATGAAATGTCCCTCAAGCCTCGAGAGGTTTAGTAAAAGTCGCTACGCGCTACGCGCCTCGCAGACAACATCTTTCTGCTTGCGCTGGGTATGGAAATTAAATAATACACACTCTAGAACATTTTCATCTCAATATATATATATATATATATATGATAGTTTTGGAGTTTATATATATATATATATATATATATATATATATATATATATATATAT